ACATGGCCAATTACCCTGTTCAACCGTGCTTAGCAAATAGCGAAGCATGTGGGTGCGTTTTGTGTGCGCTCACTTTCCTACTTGGATTCTGAACCCTAGTAATTATCTTATACTACAGGTGAGGTAAATAAATAACCTTTTTTTTTTAATTTGTTGAAATTAAGGTTTCTGCAGAGACAAATAGAGGTATCTTAAAGGACTTGATGTAATTTTGGTGGTGTTGGACAACGGTTTGATGTTGCATAAAACTGGCTTTTATAACCGGTGATATTGTTTTTATATCTAAGTGAAGTACACTTTATTTACTCTCCTTTACCCTTCGCATTTAAATGTCCCAAAGTTTATAGTAGTTGCTACCTCTATGTACAGATTCAAAAGATAACTGATAATGTTTGTTTTGTTTTTGTTGTTTTTTTTTGGAAGAAAATTGTTATTATAAAGCTTATTTTGAAACATAATCTGCGAAAAACAGACAAACATGTTTTGTGTGCCAATATGTCGGAAAACACTGTTTAGCCTTAACCCATGGCATATTAAGCGTACCTTTCTAAACTATTTATGGACAAGACATTCTTCTGAATTCACTACTTTGTCGATACAGGGTCCCTAATAGCAAACAAATGACTCACAAAATATCTAAATAAATACCACCAGTATTGCGATGAATCCCACTAATTAATGCTGGAGTCTCCTGTATATTTTACTGCGACATAGAAAGTGAGTGACTTCAGCCTTTCTTTTTGTCAGCCTTTTATACTAAGTGTATGACCCACCAATCCCCTCCCGGTGGCTCAGCAGGAATTTTGAGGGCTTATAACTTTAAAATTCGAGGTGCGATCCTTGCAGTGGGCATAGCCTGTTGTGCATCTTCTTGCTTATCAAACAAAACGATAATACACTGAGCGTTGTAACAGAAACGTAAAATTACTCAACATGATGTAATATGTTGAACCTACATGTATAAAAACGAGTCGGTGATTTTAGAGTTAAGCGAAACGGCAATGGTAAGTCAGCCGTTATTCGTGTTATGTATTTTTAAACTCGTATACGTATCAGGGGCGTATTCGTGGGGTCGGAGTCAAATGACTACCCTCATTATCCTAAAAAGTAGTATAAATAATACACTTGACTTTCATGTAAAATCGCTTAAATTCTTTGTGTAGAAGATAAGGTCTACGTCTTTTTGAGAAAGACCTCATCAAATCTCTCACTGTGTTGTGCTGGCTACGCCTTTTCGTGTTATTATATCCTTTCCTACTTTTAACCCTTCGTTTGCGGCTTGTGTAAATCTGCCAGTTAAAGGGTTAAGTGATATTTCGCGATCTTGCAGCTTCGGTTTTTGTAAGGTTAATTTTACACAAACAAACCTTCTGCACGAAGGCGTTAATATTTTTGTAGTAATAGATTAATTCATAAAGAAAAATCCGAACTTAGATTTGTTCTCCAGCTTAGATCTTCACACTTCTTTCGATTGGGAGGTCTTATGATAAGATGGTCATAATAACAGTCGTCAGCTTTCTTCTGAACAATGTTGCTTATAGTCCTCTAGTCTAGTTGGAGCCAACCAAGCATAATTTTGTTCTAGATAATCAAGATATCATATAATTATAACAGCTGACGAAGCGTACTGATTACCGCTATCTGACTTCTGCATTTTTACATCTATTTGAATTATAACGCGTGTATAAACCAAGAATGAAATGTACATTATCCCCCAGGATACCTCTCCCCCTCATATCGGTGACTACAAATTATTGCACCTTACAATAAGATACAGTAAAAACATTTTCCTTCTAATGTTTGACACCTTGTTTATATATAATTTTTAGAGAAGGAAGAAGATGTTTTTAAATAGTAATAATTCTCGATCATCTTAGTCATCAGTGTAACTAATTAAATATACATTTCTTACGTATCTGCTTATAAAGATAAGGATGCCTTGTTTTATTAGTTGGGTAACCCCGCCGTTAATAGTGTTTTCGGCCGTACACTGTTTATGAAATCCGCGAAGCTTTAACACTATTCTTTTCAAACGTACAAGAAAAAAATTCAGATGGTTTGTGTTTAAACTTGGGTTAGAACAATACTTTAACGTTTTGAGTTTCATCCAATAAAAATATGAAAAAATCGTGAATCTTTTTTATGTTAAGAATTAATGCAGCATCAAAATTTTAGATAAATGACAAAATAAGCTCGAGCGTTTTCGGAAGTTAGAACTATCTTTTTCAGGGGGTGAAGTGAGAATGAGTAGGAAGACTATTATAGCGTGTGAAAGTTAGTGACGTCATACCAGGATTTCGTCACAGTTGAAGATCTTTGGTAGTTCTTGTGAAATGTTTGAAGGAAATGAAATACTGTGAATTTTTACTGAATTACTGATTTTCTTTTGTTGTCAATATTTTGCATTATAACTATTTCTTGTTAATGTCTAGTGGTCAACAATACCAGTATTGATTTTAACCATCTTTCCTATTGTCAAAGACAGTGGTTAGCGTGCTTGGACTGTGAATCGGAGGATTCGTGGTTCGCGGCCTGTTGTCGTAAAAACGAGCAGCTCCACACTTGCGTTGGAGGTCGTGGATGCGTTGAAGGAATGACGGTAAAATCCCACTAATCGGTAAAACGAGAGTAACCAAAAGAGTTGGTGGTGGATGTTGATGACTAGCTGCCTTTCCTCTAAGTCTTTCAGTTCAAAATTAGTAATCACTCCGTGCCAATAGCTCTTTATATGGCTTTGCATAAACATTTTGAAGCAAACAAACAAAACGGTGGATTATTTTGTTATGAACATGATATTGGAACTAGAGAAAATAATCCACTCCTAAAGAGAATGCTGATATGTTTTAGTTCAGTGCATAATTCAAAATACAACAGTCGATTTGATTTGTTGATATCAAAATGTCTGATAAAAAGAAGTTGAAATTAACTTCATGTACAAGGTTTTAATTATTTTTGAATTCTTTTTAAAATTCCACTGTCTCATTTTATCAGCAAAAATACAATGGAATATAGTAGGGTATGCGTAAGTTGTTGAATATGGCACGTTTCGAACACAACAGCTCGTCTGTTCACAGAAAACATAAGGGTTTGTGGTTGTCAATTATATGTAGAGTTGGCAAATATTTGGATCGGCAATGATGGACATATTTTATTATTTTTAAATGACCTTCGTTCTCCATAATTTGTACGTCGTTTGGTGTTCTTTAATATGGATATTATCAAGGTTTTGACAGTTTTGTATGTGTCACGATGACGGTGTTACTTCTTTTGTTCTAGGTGTCCCCCGGTGGGACAGCGGTAAGTCTCCATACTTATAAAGCTAAAATCAGAGGTTCGATTCCCCTCGGCGGACACAGCAGATAGCTCGATGTGGCTTTGCGATAAGAAAATACACACACACACACACACTGCCCGAGATTTTATATTATAATTTTTATTAAACATAGCATTCCATTACTGTGGTGGAATAGTGTTTTTGGCATTATTGACATTGTATGAAATCTATGTTCATATATATCCCCTTGAAAGCAATTCATATAAAGTGATTTTCACATCGAAATTAAGCGACAAAACAGATGATAAACATGCAGATTGTTGGCGACTTAGGTTCAGTGTTAGTTACCTACGTGTCACACAAGAAGGTTTACTACACACCGCACCACCTGCTGCTGCTATCTGTCGTGCCTCGTGCGAGGCGCGTGCCTGGACCGAGCACTTTTACTACAGCGCCTGTGGCTCGAACGTGAGATAACTGCTGCGTCATAGGGCAGGTGTTAGAGCGCAACAATGACAGCTGGCTGGCGACCGTAGCGACCGACTGTCAAGGTGCGATTGGTTGTGAGCCTTAGCGTTACAAAAAAAAAGTGCAATAGACCTCCAGCAATGATTTACCTTCAGTGAGAGAGTTCTAACATTTTTGTGGGTGTTTCCAAACTACACATGTAAGTAGAACATTTTGTTTTCAACTTAAAAAGTGAACTCATGTAAATTTGTGCTGAAAAAAAAATATTTCCACCGTTAAACCCTATTTGTTGACTGGAATGTACACATATAGATGTATAGCACATCATATGCCTAAATTGAGAAATCAGATCTGTAGGGGTATGCAGAAAAATTACAGATCATTTCTCCTTCCTCAAACTAGCACTTTCATAATGAAACCTTACTCCTAAATAGAAGTGTCCAGTAGTGTCTTTGTGCTTAGTTTTTGTTTGAAAACTAGAAGTTTAGAAAAGTTTTTGGTTTCGAGGCCTTCATATATTTGTTATAAATTATTTCATAAATGGATTAAGTGCATGATGTTTTAAAAGTAAAAAAAAAGTACATTTGCTTATTGTTCAATCGTAGAATTATCAATGGGGCTTCCCATCAACTTTTCAGACCAAAAGCACTTCTATGTTCTTATGTTTGTCATTTAAAGATGTTAATGCCATTGATTGCTGTTAGGGTTTCTTATGTACTTAATGAAAAAAATTAGTGACTTCATGCATTTTTTTTCTTTTGGCTTATCTTTACACTGAATGTTGTAATGAACAAAAATATAAAATTCTTTAATATGGTGCAATATGTATGGACTCCACTGGTTGTGAACAATTTAAAACCAATCAGAAGTTTGAGGGTTAAATTTCTTCTCAGTGAGAGTTCCTTTTGTATGATTTGAGTAATGTAGAAATGAGCTTGTAAACCCATCTAGCTTGTAGTGGAAAGGTTAAATATAAAAGATGTGTAACTTCATCTGTTGCATAACCAAATGTGTGAAAGAAATTATTAATATAACCAAACAATAAAGGAAAATATGACAAGCTATGTTTCTTGTTTTGATTATAATGGTGTGGAGGGTGTCTTACTGAAAGTTATAAATTGAAAAGACAAAATTGATATAAGTGTCAAAACCATGTGAAAGGTATAATGTGTGTATATACACACTGCTTTGAAGCTCATAAATTTTATGGAGATCTTTGTAGCTAACTGCCTGAACTGATGATTGATTTTGTTCTCAGAGTTACCACATGGCTCGAAGGCTCCCTCCCTAACCATGCATGCCCCTCCCAAACCTGGTGTTCACACTATGGCAGCTGTTTCCCCCCTTCATCCTGGGCAAAATATTAATAACATGATTGGTCACTTCAGTGGAAGTAGCAATTCTGCTTTGAATGCCACCAGAACTTCGAGTTTTGCTGCAGCTCTTCGGAAACTAGCAAAACAAGCTGTGGATCCAGTAGCAGGTACGTGTGCATTAAGATCTGATTTTTTTTAATAAGCATAGAATTATTGGAATCAATATAAAGATAAAAATGTTTTTCAAGTTGTCAAGCATTATGCCTTGCTTATTTGATTACATAATTACATTCTTTATATAACTGATTGATTAAGAAACTGATTACTATCACACATGATGCTGTGTAAATTCCACAGGTTAAAAGTTCTGTCTTTATATTTTGTGAACATAGTAATAACTCTACAAAAAAACGTTTTGGCACTTTTATCCACCATCTAGAAAAAGACCTGCCATCCATTACTCCAGCATCTTCACCTGTCATTGTCTCAGCATCAGGAACACCAAAACATATGTTTGCCTCATCATACCTGTCCAGTAATGGTCCATCAGCATCTTCTGCCTCACCACCAGTGATTACCATCTCCCATACTCCTAATCAACTAGCCCATTCCTTAGAAACTAGAAAAGTGAGTTAGATATAAGTATTTTTATTTCCACAGTATCTTGTACATTCCTCAAAATGTCCTTCTTGTGTGTTTTCATTGCCAGTGTCTTTGAACCACAGCTATAGTTTATTTTAACAGTAAAAGGGTTAAAACTAAAACATGAATGCAAAGTAAACATATATTTTTCCACCGTATACTGTATTTATTAACTACCAGTTCACTTAATTCAATTTTCGTTCATCTCTTATTAATTCCAATCATTATTTAATCTAAAAGGAGGTTGACTGTTATGCACCAAGTGTCATGTTCATGTATGTTTTTCTTCTGAGAAAGTTTTCAGGTTATTGATGTTACATCTCATACTGCTTTCAATATTCACATTGTTCTTCATGACTGAATAATGTGTTGTCTTTTCAGTATAATTAATTCTATCCAAAATGAAATGTTAGTATACTAATTTCTGTTTTTCGTTCTCAGAGGACTGACCTAACAAACATGGGTCACTTTGTTGGGAACAGCAACAGTGTACACAGTGAGAAAAGGCCCGATTCTTACCTAGGGGCTAAAGATAGCCATGTCATATCTCATCTTAGGTAAGCCTAGTTCTTGGTTTGTTTTATTATTATCCAAGTGCTCCTTTAACATTTGGTTCTTTGTGTGGCTGCTACCATTTTAACTTCACCACCACTTATCAGATCACTTATTTGATTTCGAACACTACACTCACGTTTTGTGTGTGTGTATAATATTTGCATTATATTAAAAATAATTCAAATGCCTACCATTATCAGTCTATTCATGTATTGTCCTGAAGTTATTTCTTTAGTCTTGGGACAAATTATTTTAATAATTAATGTAAACAAAATATAGAAAGATTATGTTACTGAAAACCAGGTTTACATATAGCCCAAGCACTAAGACTTGCTTTGTACAGATTTTTCTTTCTTTTGCTACAGGTCAGAATCAGTGGTATCAGTCAGTAGCCATCCAGACGATGGTCGTCCGTCCACTCGTGGCTTTCAGCCTTATAAAAGTAGTAGTGATGGTTCACATTCTCATCCATCTCATATCTCTCTGTATGATCGCCATCCACCTGCTCTTTCAGTATCTTACCCATATCATTCGGCTTTCTTACCTCCAGCTCACTTTTCACACCCAGCTTATGGGTAAGTTGTACAAAACCTGCTGTATTGTTTCTCCCATTTTTATAGAGCTATTTACTTACTGATTAACTCTTACTATAGCTTGGAATTTCCTTGATCAATCATAAATTATTAAAAAAATTAACTAAAGAAATAGCTGAAAAAATGCTTGAGCATTACAACTTGATTACATGTTGGAAACGCTATCCTCAGAATTGTCCTTGCTACATAGGTTAGAATGATCTTGTTTCTTTACACAAGTCCTTGTAATACAGTGAACATTAGTGTAGCTCCTACTGCTTTGTTCAGAGAAAATTGGAAATCTGTAGACATGGAAACTACAACCAAGAATTTATTAACTGTTTTATCTATAGTTTACTTGATAAAATTAATTGGTTAATGATTACATGGATATAATGTAAAGAATTACATTAACTGTATCATTAAAAACATAGATTTGTAAATTACATCAAAGTTTATTTGGAATCAACTATAAAATTCACAGCTCCTTTTGTTGCAAGGATAGTATGGCAGTGCTTAATTCCACAGTTGTCATCTACCAATGTCAGATTTATGTGGGAGTGTACTATATTTTGGGTAGACCTCATGATGTATAGTATAGGAGTACATTGTGTTTGTTAAGGAGCATCGTTATTCCCATAAAAAATATATTTTGAGTTTTATGTGTCATGTGTCAACAACTTATGACTTCTGAACAGGACCCAGTGGTTAGCATGCTGGACTTTGGATATATTGATCCAACATTCATGTCCCATTACTGTAAAAGAAAAAGATTCATACTTTGGGGCTGTAGGTGCATTATAAAGGTAATAGTCATATTCCACTATTTGGTTAGACAAGAGTTAGCAGTGGGTCCTATTGGCTAGCTGCCTTCCTTCTAGTCTGTCAGTTCAAAATTAGGGATGGGTTAACACAGATAGCCCTTGAGTAGCTTTTCACAAATATCCAAAAACAAAGGACTTCTGTGCATTTACCTGTCATCAAAATAAATAATAGTAAACAGCATTTTCCAGTTAAAAAGCTATATCAGAAATAAAATTATAAACTCAATTGTTTGCTAGGGTTTGTGATGCTGAAACTTATTGAATAGACCAGTCACAACCCTACTGTACAATTATACACCGCTCGGTTGTTGAATTAGTCTGGTTAACATTTTGTATTTCATTTGTATGGCTAGTACATCTAATTTGTTAATAAATATTTAATGAGTGAATGAACACAACCAATGATGAGAGAAAGACATCAAGTTATGTTCACTTAGCAGCTTTTCCTAAATTACTCAAAATGAGACATGTGGAGATACAGATATCTTATCTAGTTTTAACACATTTGTAGTGATGCTAGTGAAGTCTTCAACTGTGTTAAGTAAAGTAAAGACATCTTAAAATAGATTGTAGGTGTTATCTTCTTTTTGAAACAGTGTTTTTGGAGTAGTTTTTCTGTCCAGTGAACCTCAGCAAGTGGTTATTGTAAATGGGTATATATAGTTACTGTTCATCAAATCATTAACTTGCTTGTAGTTTTTACATTTCTTACTGATGCTTGGATTGTTGTTTTTATAAGCCAGCACAAACAAAGCATTATCTAAACAATACTTTAAAAATAAAATAAAAATTCTAAATGCCAACATCTGTTTTAGTTAACTTTTTTATAAAAATAGTTTTGATTGTTTGCTTAAAGTGACTAAATGTGATTTTAAAAAGTACAGTGTAAAGTAAAATATATATATCTCACTTGTTTAAATTCTTCTAGAATTGTTAAACTTTAATAATTAGGAAACAAATGAATGTTAAGTTAATGAGAAATAAAAATATCACTTTTATATTTAGTATTCTTTAATGTTTGGAGAACGTAATGTAGTTTCAAATTTTTTTTGTTGGACTTCAGCAGACTTAAAGATTCACCTTATCTGGATCGTTATGGACTAATGAGAACTTCCATGATGCAACTGCCCCAAGCTCCAGGCATGCTACCCAGAACAAATGTACCTTTTGTTACTAGTGGGTCTTACCCACCAGATCTTCTGGGACATTCTATAGGATTTGTTTCTTCTGGTATTAATGCAGTAAACCAAGAAAGGTAAGTAGAATGTTACTTTAAACCTATACTCAGTGGTGAACTCAAACTGTACCATCTTGTTGTAATATGTATTGTATTAAGTCTGATTTTCTGCCAGCTATATTGTGGAATATGATATTTTGCTCACCTTTTTCTTGGATTGGAATTGAAGCAAGTGCAAAGACAGTTTTCTATGTCATCAAATAATTGTATAAAACTATAGACGGGGTAGTTAAGTTATTACCCTAAATAGTTTCTGTTTAGTTTTATACCATTAAAGTATTCATTCCTTTCAGAACATTTCCTTTGCACTTGCTTAAAAATATTGCCCTCTAAGTTAGGTATAAAGGAATATGCCTCATATTTAATATATCATATTACCACTATTAGTTTTTACTCCAAAGACTTAAAAAAACAGCACACAAGCCCTTGTTTTCAAGATTTATTTTGAATGGATAATACAATAAGTAATAAAACATCTAATTTATTTTTTGTTTACCATAACAAATTAGTTCAGAATAAATAAAAACGAAATTGACATAATGATAAATGTGCCTAAAATGTAATAAAATGCATTATTTGTTAAGTCTGAGGTAAAAAAAAATTAATAACATAGGTCATACTTTTATATATTTATAATGAAATTTAGTGACAAAGAAAATATTTATTATTAAAGGTGTAGTAATTAAGGTTTTTCAATTGTGTTTCCTTGCCTTTATTACATGCAATACATATTTGATTGTATGTTGAAAAATGATTTAATTATGTATTAGGGTTTGATAAATGTATAGTAAATGATAATGTTTGGGTTGTAAAAGTAATATAGAACTAGACAACGAGTAGACAATGAAAAATATTACACTTTCTAAAAGAAGGTACCATTGATCAGTGTGGGTGAGGCCCACCAGGAACTTTTCCAGTTTCACAGTGGATCAGCTTGTCTGTCATTGCCAAAGTTCCTAGGTTACACTTTTGGACTTGTGTGTCTTGTTATCCCTACTTTAAGTTGTAAAAGACATGAGATTTTTAATTTTAAGTATTCATAAGCCAGTTAAATTCCAGTTTTTACATCTTGTTTTTCTCTACATACTGTTCTAGTATCAGTATCTCTGCAGTGAAAGGGTTATAAAAAGAGTGAATATACACTCATGGACTGATAAAAAGCTCCATTTAATTATTAATTTTTTTATGAATTTTATACTTGCCATATACATTTGCATATGTTATGGAATGTTCATTTTTAATTTGGCAAATTAATATGTTTGCTTTAAAAAAAGTCAATCTTTTTTTTGCACTCAGTAGAAAAATGGCAAAATCTTGTGTATACAATTTTATATTTAAATTTATGGAATGTAAATATTTCACTTTCTTTTGGTGAAATGTATAAAATAAAAAATCAAACTAATTTTTTAAATCATTTTGAATAGTTTAATACAAAAAAAATAAATTCAAATAGTAGGTAAAAGAAGCAAGTAGGAAGTCAAGTTGAATGAGTTGAAAGCTTTATTGAGTAACACTGTCATTAGGTTTGAATGACAATATTTCTCAAGCTAAGCAACTCTGTCTTATTAAGTGCAGTGAAAATATAATCTTTTTAGTCCTTACAACTTTTCATTCTAGTTTGTTGACTGATATTCTGATTGTTAATAAGAAATGATGGTTAATTGTGGTTAACCCTAAAATTATCTATGGACCCCATTAAAATTCTTAACAGTTTTCTTAACTGCTTATGGAAAGTTATGGACCCACAAAAAAGTTGGTAGTTTGTTTGTTTGTTAGCAAGCAAATCACAAAAGTAAATTAATAATATTGCTAATATTACAATTAATCTCACTACTGGAGATCTTCCATATTTCACCTAGAAAATAAGTAATTTTACCCAATTTTCTTTGTCAGTTCTTTACACTGGGTTTTGTAGCTGATAAAAAAACATAAAATTACTCAATACCATGCAATATGTGTACACTATTAATACTGAATGGTATGTTAGCATGTTAGTAGTTCAAAGATAAAAGACAACATTCAATCAAATACAAATCAAATTGATTAACCACAATAACATTTATATTTTCCGGAAAAAAAAATTATCCACCTATTCTTGATTCAAACATTTTACAGAGTCCTCCTGGTGCTTCAGTGCTAAGATCTGTAAAAATCTAGGTTTGATATCCGTAGTTAGCACAGCACAGATAGCCTATTGTGTAGCTTTACACTTAAATACAAACAAGCAACACATTTTACTGAATAAAATTATAATCACTGGACTGATATCTGATAAATGTAGGAGTTTGGAATGGATAGTAGCAGTACACTTGACTGGAAGATGTTAGTATGAAGTTGAAAGATGTATTTCAGTAGATTAATACAAATATATGGTGTACAACAGTTACATCTAATGTCATAAAGGTTACGATACACAAATTAAATTCTATAGCATGGAATGAGAAGATTATACAGACTTTGATTTAGACTTCTTTTACAGCTTACACAAGTAGTTTATTTGTCTTTTGAATTAGAAAAGTAGATTAGAAATACAGCATAAGGAAGTGAATCAAGATTATTTAAATGTTTGAACTTGATAATTCCTACATGTTATAGAGTTCTTCAAGAGGAACAACACTTACAGGAAAGAGAGCGCGAATTTATTCAAGACAGGGAACGAGATCAGGAGAGAGTCAGGGATTGGCCAAAAACAAGGGATCAAGACATGCAGGGTCAATGTACTGAAAATAGAGAAGAAAGGAACCATACATCAAGAAGTCCATTAATTATGTCTGCTTTAAGAAATGAAGAGTCAAAAGGTACAGGTTTTATTCCATAAATCTTTTTACTTTGTTCTTATTCTACATTTTGACTACTTGGAAAAGGTATTATTAATTAATGTTCAACTTTTCTGATAAGAAAGCAAGCTAAATCATTATTCCTATGTGATGGCATTCATAAACTAAAACACACCTAACATAATTTGTTCATATTTAATCCAAGTAGTGATCTTTGTCTAGATATAAAAGTTTTGTAAAATGGATGTGGCCTAGTGGTTGTATGCTCATGCTGTGTATCTGAGGGTTCATCATTCATGTCCCATTGCCACAAAATTGCACTCCACACTTAAAGACCATGTGTTATAAGAGTAACTGTCAAATTTGACTATTTGGTTTGAATAATTCAGAAGTTGATGGTGTGTACTGTTGACTAGCCATCTCTCTTGTCTATCATCTAGAAATTGGGGACAGTTAGCTCAGATGGCCTTTGTATAGAAGCTTTGTACAAATATGCAAATCAAACAGGTTTTATAAAGTAAATGCACTTTTTCCAAACATGATCCTTGTGTATTAAATTAGGAATTAAGCTTTTATTAACATGGTCCTTTTGTCTTGTGAATTTCCTTCATTAGCTGTATTAAAGTTTGTACTTTCTGTTTGTTTTCAACATTTCTTTTTATACAGTTGAAATTTATCTTTAATTTTGATTACATTTAACTTTTGTGATTAACTGGATATTATTATTAATTTCAGTTATTTCAAATATATTCTTTGAGAGCTAGGTACTGAAAAACATAATAATATTATTATTACAGGAAAGTATGGTTCAATCACTCAGGGAACACCTCGTGACATAGTCATTAAGAGGCCATTTCAGGTCACTGTTCCATCGTCAGCTCCTCTGAACTTGACAACATATTTGCCTGGGTCGAGAGAAACTTTAACACATCGTGAACAAGACCTTCAAACACTACCTGAAGGATTGGCATATAAGCATCCATTGTTTCTTTATCAGGTGAGTGTTAAAGTGATTTCAATTTCCACTATATTTTTGTGGAAACTGAAGGTACTGAGCTTTTTCTTTTGTAGTGATTGTGTTTTAAAATATTTTTCTTTCCCCATTTTTATTTATATATATATATGTTCGGCTGTATTAAAATATAAAATTTAATTTTTACTTATGATTTTAACTGTAAGTGGAAAAATAGAAATAGAAAAAAAGTATTCAGTTTTGTATTTGAATTGAATAAAAAATTAATCAGGGCCAAAATTAAAATTATAAGCAATATTATTTTCACCTATTTCTGTCATTTTTCTCAAAAGTATAAATTATTATTGGGTTTGTCTGGACAAATACCACATTCACAAACCCACTATTATAACTGATTATTGATTAATTAGATTGTGAAGTAATAACCTATAAACATTGTATTATATAATGTCAAATGTACATTTTATGATGTTAAATATTTAATAACCTCATTCTGCTTCAAATATCTAATAATCATTATATTATTGAAGTAAAAAGGTACCTTTGTTAACTACTGCTAATCCAGGAAGAGTATGTTACAAACTTCAAAGAATTAAAATTTCCTCTTAACGCTTTCACTTAGATTTCAGGAGCATTCTCCAAAAGCTGTTAATTCTTCATTAAAATATACAAGTTTTAATTTGACCTCTTTTATTACTTTCCAATTTGAAATTACCATAAAGTTTCCATATCTGGCATTAAAATTTCTTGGAAACAATATCAAATAATGGAAATTTAGATTTTTAGAAAGAAAATGTGCAAAATGTGTTGAAAAGGATTCTTCACTAATGAAGTAAAATTGACCAAAATGATTTATTAAAAAGCCAAATGTATTCCAAAAGCATGAAATTGTATTATATGTATAAAATATTATCATAACTCCTTAAAATTTTGTACTATATTTATATGTCAGTATTGATGGAAAATCACATATATATAATATAAAAAAAATACTTTGCTCAATGTCATATAAAAGAAAACAAAACAGTACAATGATGATTCTTTTTTTACTTTTGCAATTAAGTACAATACAAAAAACGTGTTTTCAGCAAAAAATAAACAATATTCATTAAAATGTGAGTTTGCCTTACATCATACTTTTCTTAACTTTAGTTACATTGGCAACATTTCTTGTACTATACTTTTGAATGATATGTTGCAAAACAAGGAATCACAAACAATCAAGGTTTTTCTGGGCACTCATTGCAAAAGTAAGTGGTTTTCTTCCTTTTGCAAAATCCTTTCCTTTTCTTTTTACACTGTGATGGCAAAATATAATAAACACAGCAATTTGGTTTCTGGTTCTTATCATCGTACTGTGACTTGACTTTATTCAAAGGTGCAAATAAACAAGCGATATGTTTTACAAAGTAAATATAGAATGTCTTTGCCTCTAACAAGTAATTGGACAAAGTTGAGTGATAAGCCAAGTTATTGATCAACTAAATGGTTAAACTGATTACCCATTACTAGTGTAGGTAGCATGGGTGGATCAGCTGAGTCTTGTTTACTGATATCACTCACAGGTGGCAGCACTTAGGGATGTTTTGGCAGTCATTTCAAAACCAGAAGAGAGATCTATCGATTTTTGCAGTGAAGAGAAAAAATTTTTGTCTGTCATGGAGAAAAGTCAATTTCTCAATTAACAGTAATAAAGGTTCAATGGATTTTAGTCGATTTTTGCAGTGAAAGGGTTAGCAAAAAAGAGTGAATATACACTGGTGGACTAATAAAAAGCTCCATCTGATAGCTAATTTTTTATACATTTTGTGCTTGCCACATATATATATATTTTATGGAGCATGCATTTTTAATTTGGCAAATTAATATGTTCTGCTTTAAAAAATTCAATCCTTTTTTGTACTCAGTAGAAAAATGGCAAAATGGTAAAACTAAACTTTTCCTGTTTTTATGTGTTTTAGTGAGTAGGTGAGCTTCAGACTTTTGGATTTAATTTGTTAGATACTTTCACGTATTAATTAGAAGTTCATTTTACTATAGAGATGTACATATAAAAGAGAGAGAATCTTTAGAAACATACAAATTTGCCATTCATTTTTGGATATTTTTTTCTTTTGAATGTCACAAGTAGACATATCAAACTTTAATCTAAATTAAAGTTTAGTATAGCTTCAATAGATGATTGTAATTACAAATTAAGTGACAGTAATGTAATTGTTTTGTCTCCAGTTGTGCATTAGATAAGTCCTTGTGACAGATCTAGGCACAAATATGAATCATTTGGGCACCTGCCTTCTGTTTCATCGTTAACCAACATGAATGAAATAGTTTTATATTCTTTGATCTAGGCTAGCTTTTTCATTTAAAATAAATAATATTTATGGTTTAGATTGACAGTAATTTGCATTGCAACTGTTTAGTCACTTAAATTCACATGTGATTATTTTATTGCTCCTTTTCTTAGAAAATTGGCTTCACAGTTGTGATGACTTTGAAACTAAAAGGCTATTTCTTTCTTCACTGGTAATTAATTATATTTTAGTGATAGCTTATTTCAGAGTTGGATTGAGGAAAGCAACCAAACACGAATCATCAACTAAAAATATCTAAAATATATATTTTAAAGAATAGGAATTTGTGTCATACCATAATTCAAGAGATGTTTGTGTTTGTCCTCTAACTTCTCTTTTTGTATTTTGACATGTCAAATATGGTTTAATCAACTATAAATGATTAAGGATGTGTGATGAAGAAGTTATTTTTCTTTTAAAATGCATAAATTTCGTAGCTCCAGTAATGGCTAAATATAGATCAGTTGGTGGGTGTAGCCATTACGGGTACAGATGGGATTTCTCCAGTTTCCTCTTTCATTACAATATGATATACATACAGTCTATGTAGTTTCAATCATTACTGTGATACTTAGAATAAAAACAGAAACACTATTTATATTCATAACTGGTAAAACATTAATTCTGTAATTTCATTTCACTTTCAAATCCTGTCAATCATTTGAGGCATTTCTTTTTCACACATTGTTTATACATACTTTCACACTTATATTAAATTAGATGTTTTAAGTCACATGTTATTTATTGGTTTTTGATTTAAAAACTAAAATAGAAAATATATATTGTTATATAAGTAATCAAGCCCAGTGCACAAGAATAAATTTATTCTTATGTACTTTCAAGCTTTATATTGACCCCCTGGTATATTTGAAAAAAAACATTTTTATATTCATAACTGTTAAAAATTTGTTTCCAAATCTCATCATTAATCATTAATTTGAAGGATTTAATATTCGTTGATATAAACACCTCATAACAATACCTATCAACAGTGTGTGCTTTATTATATAAGACATTAAATATACACATTATTTCTTTTTTGTATTTTTTTACATCTATCAGGGTGTGATCATGCCAAAGAAAGTATGCAAGAGAAGTTTACCAAGAACAGATAGGACAACTGAAAGAAAAATGGTTGTAAGTGCATACATAGCCACAAACCCCAGTAAAGATGTAGCCATAGATAAAACCAAACAATGACCCTTCTCTATAAAATCAATAAGCAAATCATATAAATGATTTGTTAACCTTCATAAACCTCTCACCATACATTGCATAGGTACATCTGCTGGTATATTTATTACTTGCTATTTTCTTGCAAAGACCAACTTTTTAAGACACATTAGGAGTTTATTGTGATACTAAAAGAAAATTAATTACATTGGGTTATGTTTCAATATTTTTCAATATTTATATTGTTCAGTATTTAGAAAAAATTATAGGGTTTTTTGTCAAGACATTCAAAGATAGTAAATGTTTTCTCAAATGTTTGGAATCTGACAGGACACATAGAAGTATAGACTTGCTCTTTTTTATGTAGCAGAATAAATGTTAGTTCAGAGTTTTATCAGATGTAATAGTGTAACATAAATAGTCTTGGAAAGTTGAGTTCATTGATTAAGAAAATGGCATGTGCTGCAGTGGTGCTGAATAACACATGTGGTCATGTATGTTAAAAGAAAGCAAATGAGGCTGTACAATGTTTCCCATAGAGTTTTGCATACATTTCCATCATAGTTGGCACACAGCTGCGAAGTATCTTGCAAGTAATGTATACAGCAATTTTCTCTGACACACATGACAAGTGAAGCCTTGTTTTAAACTTGATACCATGACTGTGTGTGTTATTATGTGTTGACATTGCTGGAGGAAATTTTCCAATCTTTGCAGTTGCATTGCCTTTTAAACTGTTGTGTTGAACACATTCCAAACTGTCTTGTAAGCATATGGCAAGACCAACACTTGAGAAAATCTTGTTCATTGTAGGTGTATAATAAGTAATCTGCTGATTTTTTGATTTTTTTTAATAATTAATCAATTCTTAGACATGTTGTCCGAAACTTTCATCACAGTTTCATGGTAATAATGGCTAACTAAAATGACAATTACTTTTTTTAGGACATTCATAGAAATTCACCACTGCATTCCGTTCAAGTTCCTAAAGAAGCGGACAGAACTTTGAAAAAGGAGCCTGAAATTTTCAGACATGATTCAGTGGTTGGGACACAAGACTCGCAATCGTCGGGAATCACACTGCTGCAGAAAACATTACAAGATACCAAAGGTGTCAGTCCCAGAAATAAAGCTCATGATTTTGATGATAGTACTGCCCAAAACAAGTTATCCAGTACGACAAATCAGAATGGCATAAATAAAAGAGCAATAATTGGCATAAAAGAACCTGCTAAGCATAGAACAAGATATTTATCTACAGGAATAACTAATAATATTAAGACTGAGGAAAATTCTAACTTCTCAGGTAATGATAAAAGACATATTTTTTCAGATGAAAGTCATAAATCTGGTGGCCTAAAGCAACTTAATACCTCTAATCATAACCACTACTTGCCACCCATTCCCCAGTATTCAGTTTCTCAAAGCTCAAAGAGTGAAAGAATGTATGGAGTCATTATTGATAATAGTAGCAGTTCTTCTCATGGGTCATTGGAATGTACTGGGATTGAAACAACAGACATTATTTGCAATACCCTTTCTAAAGTGGTAAGCAAATTAGATATTGAAGAAGAAAGGTTGAAGAAAGCAAGACTCAGTGAAAATTATCGCAGTGATGATAGTGATTCTGATGCAGAGGAAGAGAATCAAAGTAGGCTTAGATATGTTCTTGTAATTAAAAATGGACCTCCACTCAAACTGGATTTAGACCCTAGGGTGAGTATTTTTTAATTGCTAAATTTAAAACGTTAATAGTTTTGTGTAGAGCAATGAAGAAGAATAAAGATATAATATAAATAAATTTTTTATGTCTTTATGATAAAGCAAATAAACACATCTTATTAATCTCTTAAAAGAGAAAAATTGTTTAGATTTAATTGATGACCTCAAATTTAATTTTTCATTTCAAGAATCAAATAACACAACAGAAAAATGTTCCATCAAGAAATAATGGTAATTATGTATTAAAAACATCAGTGACTTTTAATAACTCTTTTTTTCTCCCAGAAATTAGAATTCCTAGATATCCTTGGCCTGTGTACTCATCAGAAAAGGAAAGGTAAGACAAACCAAATAATTTAAATGGTGACTTCATTGAGAATAAAACGAAAAAATCTGGTACTTACTGCTTATCCTTGTGACAAGGAAAAATTAGTCATGATACATGAATTGGACATTTTCTTTAGATATGGTGATTAGCACACAGGCTTGTGGATCATAAGGTTCAAAGTTTGAGCCATCATGTACTGCTGAACATGCTCTCCATTTTTAAATGTAAGAATGTTACAACAGTGATGGTCAACCTTGCAATTTGGTTGAGTATTTTTCACATGTGATGGGTGCTGCTGACTAATTATCCTTCCTCTTGGCAGAAGTTTGAAATTAAGGATAGTTATGGCTATTTGTATGTGTAAGATGATAGCAGATGTCATGTTCTTACATATTAGCATTTGGCATGTCAAGTTTTCTTGGTAAACATGAAACAGAAGTAGTGCACGCATCGTCATCTTTGTAAAGCAAGCATCAAATATGGAAGTTTCCCTTGTTTATCTGATAGCTATATTGTGTAAATTGCTGTAGGTCATCTAACAGAACTTGTGCCAAGTGTTGAAATTAATATAAGTAAAAGGTTCCATTTCCTTTATTTTAAAGGCCACACTTGTCTACTTGATTGAGTAAATCAAATGCAAAATTAAATTGTAAATAACAGGAAATGCTGCTATAATGTAACTTATGAAAATAAAAGACATGGCTATTTAAAATAGGTTTATAAGTAAGAAATGTGATCAAAATTTTGCTTAAATAAATTTAATTTGGATGTCTCAGTTGTATAAAAGTAAGCTGTTTTCTGTAAAGATAAAACAGTCAATTTCTTGATTGGTAGAAAAAACCATTATAGGTTTATAATTGCATGAATACCAAAACACATTTCAGAGGGTGAGGAGACTTCCTATTTAGCTAAGAAATAATAAGGAAATGTTTTGAATAGTGGAAGAAAGAAATGGTAAAGTAAACAAAACTTGTAAATGAAAAGGACAAATTATGAAAGAAGTGTTTAGATATATATACAAAGTTTATAAGGGGGGGAAAAATATTGGATTTTTTTTAAGACAATGGGATAAAACAGAACTAATTAAATAGTAGAAAGTGCAATATTCTTAATTATCTTGATAACTTACGTGAAAGAGACTGTCAGTTAGATAAATAAAAAAAAGTCAAGATTGAAGCTTTTTATCCTTTGGTTTTGTACCATATAAATGTCCTTAAAGTGTTGACCAGTTTGGCCCAGTGTGCAGGGTAATAACTGCCAAAAATACAAGTATCACGACATCTAATATAATAATTAACTGATATCCCTTCATCATAATTTACAATACAGTTATGTAGGCAGTATTATCAATAGTAAACTATTTGTTATGGCTCTTCATGGTCTTTATTTTATCAATAGCTTTGTTCATTTAGATTTCTATTTCTTGATGGGTTTTCCTGACTATTTATACAAATATATTGTATGTTTAACTTTCTTGTTTTCTTTGTTCTATTCAAACACCTATGCACACACACACACACACACACACCTCATTTTCCTGTTTTCTTGAGCTATTCAAGAAGGTACCTGCTATCAGTGTCATCCTCTTATTGGTTAGTCATCAACCAAGTAGCTGTCTATCCCTCTGTATCATCATGTAGCTATTTCAAATATTTTTGTAACTCAACAACTGGAGTCTAAACATTTTTTAATCATTAGATATAATTTAAAGATAGTTTACCCATTAGAATTCATATGTGCACTTAATTATCCATGACATAATCTTAATGAGTAAGAATGAAGTAGTGACATTTAAATACTTATTAAATACTTGTTTTACAGAGTAGTTTAATGAAAAGCTAAGTAATTAATTTTTCTTATAGAGAAGTGCAGATACCATTATTTCCATTTCTGTATTTTTCTCTAACTAAACAGAAGTATTGTTATGATGTTGAAAAAAAATGAAGATTAATTTTATATTGTCATACTAAGGTGGAAAGTAGGCATTGATAATCAGAATACAAACTAATATCAAAATTCTGACATCTGATCTTTTTTGGTGGTCTTTTGCAGACTGAAATGTTTTCTTTATCTTAAGTTAATTTCAATTAATACATAACTGGTGTGTTTTACATCTGAGTGAATTACCAGTATTCACTTCTTTATTTTAGAGAAAGAATTTGACAAATTTTTGAAATATAAGAATATTACCCATCAACAAATCATCATCCCAACTTTGAAGGAACCTCAGCGATGTACTTCTCCCCTTGATGAAGTCAGACTTAGCTTTAACCCTAAGAATCTGTGCAAAGAAGATGATTATCATCAAAAAGTAGAATTTTTAACAGTCCTTGACCTTCTGCCAACAAGTTCACAGAAAATAGAAGGTGATAATTTTAAATTTCATATAACTTTATAAAAAGAACTGAGAAATTCAAATTAAATACAAGATCTTGTGCAATGGGAAGGTTGATGTATCCAAAAAGTGTTTCTTTTAACAGTCTTATAAACAGACAGTATTTATATACTTGTGTAAAAGAGACAAATTAACTGTAGTAAAACATCATCTTGCCATTTTCTTATGCTATCAGTTTCTGGGGGTCAAACTTTTGAAAATGTGGTGTTCGATATTAAGTTTTTTATCAGTTCTTGCAGGTGAATGTTCTAATGTAAACCTTGATTTCTGGTTTAATGTTTAATGAAACTTTGAAACCTCGCATGATATTTTCAAAGTTTCAGTTACATAATCATTTATTGAGTCTGCTAGGTTAGATATCCCTGGCTTGCATCTCTAACAAACAGCTCAGAATGTAATAATGAGTGAGGTAGTTTTAGTGTCTTGTTTTCAGGAATAAAGCACCCACAATTACACAGACCTAGCTAAAATATATTTGACAATAAAAAACAAAAGCTTAACAAATTTGTAATTATAAATTATTTTTAGGTTTTTTGTTAAAAGCAGTAATATATAAATATTTCATATGTCATTGACATACACATACAGCATAAGAATACCAGTCCTCTTTTTTTCCCATTCTTACATGATTCTAAGTCTTCTTACTTACATTCACTAATTATGTAAGTAAACATGACAAATAATAAAATTAATAGTCATGATGCTAAGGTAATTTGGTACGTGAATTATTCAGTTTAGCTGTCAGTTAATGATTGTTTGAAATTGTGAGCTTATTGTTTCACCAAACAAAAATAGATAAAATATTGGTCTCATTGAAATGAGAAATTGGGCAAGAAATGCTACATAAAATAATTTGCTCTGTACAACATTAAAGCTGTGAACAAAGTACATGTTATGTATCATTTTGTGTATATTTTAAGCTTTTTTTCAACTTTGTGGAATTTTTTTCACAGAGGTGGAGAATACCTGGAAAGTAATTAAAAGTGATAGAATTAAAAGAAAAAGAAAATATTCTGAAAGAGAGGACAAGAAAAAATATGCTCCCGTAGTTAACATCCAGGAGAATGTACGAACAGGTAGAGTATATCAAGCCTTTCTCGCAGTGTAGTAACTAACTCTCGTTTGTAATCCACACTAAATAATCTGACCTTATACTTCAGCATTTAAATGGTTTCACAATCTGCACATTACCTAACATGTGTAATTAATGTTCCAACATAATACTTCTTCAAAATTCTTTATATATATATATATAAAATAGTACTGTCTATTGTATGTCCATATAACTACTTTGTAGGATGTGGATGGATCTTCACCAAACTTAATATGGAGGTTCATTAGGTCCATCTAGGAGTACATGCAAATTTTCAGTTTTGCATTCTGTGGTTTGCAGTTTTATGGTCATTTTTGCATTTTTTACCACTACTTTACCCCATGTAGATGGATCTTTACAAATTAGGTATGGAAGTTTGTTGAGTCCATGGGGAGATACATATAAATTTTCGATTTTGCACTTTGTGCTTTTTATGGGTGTTCTTGCATTTTTTACAATTACATGTAAGGGAAGCAACTTTTCATGTCCTCATGTCCATTTACCTTTCATTAATCATGAATTTACATAACTCCAGCTAGTATGTATATATGATGCTTGACATTCAGCTCTGTAAAAACAATAAAAAAGGAGATAACACGAAACTAAAAACTTTAGTTACCAAAACAGATTATTTCATTGTTTTTAATTCATATTGCCTCCTTTTTTTAAATGTTTTATATTAAGTATATTTAGTTCTTTTTCCATTATGTTTTAGCTGCACCTTTAGTAATCTTAGAACTAGTTAAATTTAGTTTCATCACTGAGCCAACTTGTGTAAAATTGTACTTATATTATAACTGACTGATTTGGGCAGCAAATAGATTTTTTTTAATTAAAGGTTTCTCATATTTTACATATGATTAAGTATTTCTATTTATGCTAATAATTGGGCACTGTTGTTGAGTAAAATATGTAGTAGTAGTAGTAGTAGTAGAAATAGAAATTTAGTATATATTGTGTTTTTGTATGGTTTTCTTTGCATGATCTACGAACATTCAGGCTAACAATTTGTTGTTATGAATCAGTAAAAGAACAGTCTGGTAAAATATTTTTTTTTAATCAGTCTTTGGTTCAGAATATTATGGTGATTAAATTTAGTAGTGTATTTTTTCAGTAAATGATTGATAAAGTGGATAATGTTTGAGTAGGTTAGCCTATCTTTTGCATACTTTGTAGTATCTAATGGACTAGAAGATGAGAGAAAGCAGCCCAAAAAGTTGATTTTAGAAGGTCCACCTCTCTTGTCTAAGCAACTGAATGAAGATATTCATGTTCCCTCTACTGTTTTTAATCATCCTGATATGAAGCAAACAGAGAAAGGTAAAAAAAAAATTACCTCTATGAGTAAACAAAAGAAGTAGCAAAACTGTCTTAATATATTATGTTTATCTAATGTATATATCTTTTTAAATCTAGCTGTCAGATTAATTATCTGTTATTGAATGATTTTTTCCATAATGATTCTTAGTGCATGAAAGCAAATAATAACTGTTTCAATTTTATGTCATATTACTACAAGCTGTAGCTCTAAGCAGAAACATATTCTCAAATGCAGTGCTTTGTTCTTTTTTTATGTGATTTCATCTAAATTTATAGAAATTTTTGTTGTAGCCTATATTTTTCAATCTATAAATGTTCATAAATTTGTATTATTTGAGAAGTTAGGCCTATTGGTGAATATTTGTTATGCTGATTATGGAAATTGAAGAAATAAAATGTTTTTGTTAACCTCAAATGGATTAGACTCTGCATTTTTGTTTTTATCAAATAATCCATAAATCTCACCCAACAATAGAAAACTTACAACAGTGAAATTTTTATTAGATTAATTTTTCAAAGGAAAAAAAACTATAGTTTTTATATATCTGTAAAAATATCTTTAAGAAAGTATACAAAATGATTAAAACTAGTGCTTAATTTCTAGGAAAAAAAAAGGGTACTGGTTCCCTGTAATGGATGGGGGAAATTTTGAATTTTTGAAAATAATAACTTAGATGTTATTGAGGCTACTATTTGGAATTGGTCAAGAATTAAGCAATATTGTTGACTACATCAATCAAATATCCATTTGCAATAAGGAAGGGAATTTTCTTTTGGGGCGGAGGTAATTCCACACACTTACTGTTACTAACTTTTGGGACTCCACTCCCTCTGAATTTCTCTGACTTGCGTTCTATTACCAACAAAAACAAAATTGTGCTTCACACTTTTGTGATCAGAAGTTAATCAATCACTTCAAAATTATCAGTCCCGGCATGGCCAGGTGGTTAGGGCACTCTACTCGCAAACTGAGGGTTGTGGGAGCATTATAATGTGATGGTCAATCTTACTATTCGTTGGTAAAAGAGTAGCCCAAGAGTTGGCAGTGGGTGGTGATGACTAGTTGCCTTCCCTCTAGTCTTACACTGTTAAATTAGGGATGGCTAGCGCAAGTAGCCCTCATGTAGCTTTGTGCGAAATTCAAAAACAAAACAAATCAAAATTATGAATGGCTAGCACAGATAACCCTTGAGCAGCTTTACTTGAAATTCAACAAACAACAATACCTATCAGCCAAAATTGATTAGAATGAGGTTTCATTGGTACTATTTTCTGTCTTCTGAGCTACCAGTATTTATTTATTTCTATGTATTTCACATTTTAAAAAATCAAAATCCAATTTGCCAAAACAAATACTATGCATAATCCAAATTGTCAAAATATAGGATTCCACACATGTAATGAGTGTGTGAGCAACTATTTCTACCCTAACTTGCAATGCAGTCAAGGCAGTCTTAAAATTTATTATAGTATTTCAACACCTTTAGATTTGAAAAAACAACAAGCTAAAACAGGTTTTGGATATCAGATCTGAAGAGATCCTGCAGAAAGTAAGCATGGTTAGAACCCTTATTGGTCTTTCTCAGCCTGAATGTTCAAAAACAAATAATTGGTTGTTTGCTAATTTCTTACCTACTTTTCATACAAGTGTGCATCCCACTATAGTTGTTTGTTTGATCTGTCTAAAATTAAAGTATTTGGTGTGGTTAAACAATAATCTTGGACAAGTAAAATATAATGAACAAATTAACATAAGCCCAAGTCAGTAAGTGGCAAAAATCTATAGTATGATGTTTCACTTCAAAGTAAATTTCAAAAGTTTATTTTTGAATAGTTACATATATTATTTATGCTACTCCTTTTTGATATCTGATGATGTTGAGTTAGTATGTTTTGTTTTTAGTAAGAACACTATTTCAGGTTTCCAGAATAATGTGATGTTTTTATTTTCTCTATTACGTAGAAGTCATTCCCAAAGCACAACAGACTAAACTTCCTTCTTTGAACCATAAAGACCAGCCTTCCAATGTACCTCTAGAAGTACCCAATAAAAGTGTACTAAATACACCAGTGTCAGTTATACCCCGGTATGAAGGAAGACGTTTAGAGAAAGACTTTGTACAGGGCTTTCATGAGTCTGTGCTTCAGACCACTGAACTGCAGTTAGGTATGTTATGAATTTTTTTGTTATTAGTCCTTAATTATTTTAATAAGTATTGCTGATTTTGCTTGTCTAGCGGGTAGGATATGAAGATAACAATTCTTAGATGTAATTGTTCTGAACGTAAAGTAATATAAATTACATACTCCTGCTTGTGTAACATGCAAAAATGTAACTAATGCCTATTCTGAAAAGAAAGCTAACTATATGTGTGTATGGTACTTCATTGTTATAAAATGCTGTTTAGCAAAATATGATACAAGTAACTATATTTCGGTACGCTCCCATTCTTATAACTGTTTGATAATTAGCTTATAATGACAGCAGGTAATTCCATAATGCAGACCTAGATGTATTTATGTACGTAGGTACATAAGCATACACATTTTCTGTTATGAGAAATGTTTTATTTCTTAAGTTACTGTATGTATGTATGTAAGCTTCCATTATGTATCATAATATTTCTATAGTAAATTTATTAAGTAACTTTACTAAGAGTGTGAAGGTTCTATTATCTCAGTATTTATTACTCAGTTCAATTGATTTTAAAAAATTCAAGACTAAATGATTAGAAAAAATTTATGAACGAAAGCAAAGAAGAAAGTAATAATACGTCATCCACACCTTATCTGCTGTAATCAGTGATGACGAGACTTTTTACCCAATACCAGGGCTTATCAGCCTGGCTGGAATTCGACAGTCATTGTAGTGATTGAGTTGCTATTTATATTACCAGTTACTTGAACAGCAACTGTTTGCATGTGAACTAGATTAAATTGATGAACTTGTGACTTTTAACCAAGTGTATTAAGTCATTAGACGTCAGAATTAGGCTTATGATATTTGTTATCATCAAGTTATTTATTTATTTTAACACCAAATTGTATATTATTAATATTATTTACTTTTATTTGAATTAACTTTGTTCATCATTCAGAAAAACTGACAGACTAGTAACCGAGTCTTTTTTCATCCTGGAGTGGGTCAAGTGACCTTAACACCAATAGGAGAAAACTGCATTAGTAATTATAAGAACTTATGAGTGAAAATGTAATAATATGTCAACTGCATTATGTATGCTAGGCCTATTTCCAACAAGGCCTTTTGCCCAATACTACAGGTCATATAGCTCATCAGGTTGGCTTGGATACAACAGACAAAATACTGACCAAGATGTCATCAGTGACTTAAACAACTGTTTCAATGCAAACTATACTAAATTGGTGAACTGTCATTTTTATTAATGATAATATCATTATGTCCCTTGTTTAATATTGAACAAAACATGAAAATAAAGGAGAAATACCAAGAAATGTACATGTATTAACTGAGTAATATCTTTTGTTTTATTTAATTCATATTATATGATATCTAGCCAGTTTTTACTATCCACTATGTCACTATTCTTCATGGTTTAGATTCATCTAAAGTTGGTATTGAACTTGGTATCAGCCCAAAAAAAGGACAAAAAGCCAGATTTTAAGAAATTAAGACAAATAGGGATAATAAAAAGTCTTTGAATTACTTGTCTTGATAAGTGTACAAACTCTTAACTTGAATGTAAAGTAATACCTTGTCTATGTCACAAGTTTTCTATTCTCAACCAAAGCTCATACATTTATTTGTGGTTTTCAGATTAGTGAAAGTCAGTATAAACCATTTTACTTATGAAATGATCCATGTGTATTTTTTTTTCTATTTCTGTTTCTTTCATTATTACTTTGTAGCATACTTGATGCTCTGCATATTTCTTAATATTTATACATTTTTGAATCTGAATTTTTTTCTTGTTATCTAATAAATAGTTATATCAACTAAAACTAAGGTAATTTTGTATGTGTTTTCATGACTAGTAATTTGAAAACTGTTCAGTTAGGCATGAGTCACAAAAAAATGTTTCCTTTTCTTCAGCTGAACAAAAACAGTTCCAGGCAATAGACCAATATTCTCAGCATAATACAAGTCTAAATGAAAACCCACTTGTTACTTTTTCTAATAAAAACCTGGTCAACAGAGAAAGTAGAGGAGGGTTAGAGAGGTCTAAAGTTAGACAAAAGGAAAGTTACTCCTGGCCTGGCATTGAGGCTGTATTAGAAGCTTATGAACACCATCTAGCAGGTGAGAAATTTAGCTGAATCATACTTGAGATTTTTGAGCATTTTCAATACCATATAATCAAATGTATTAACTTTATTGAATTTCACTTGTGGTCCTTTGAGATTGTACTGACTTCAATACTTAATCCCATCTTCTATCCTAAATTCATAAAGTTCTCTTGTTACCTTATCAAGACTGGTGTTTGAATTTTCAGGTGTCAAATGATACGTGTGATTCATGTTTCAAAACTTAAGTAACACATATTAATTTTTATTCTATTGTAAAATACTTTCTTGCTCAAAACTATTTTAGAATTGGTATCTTAGCATTATATAATATTTATGTAGTATATTTTACAAGGAAAATTGAAAAAAATGTTCCAGCTTTCACTACTAGCTCTGTAGTGCTTTGCTTATAAATGAAACATGTATGTATCTGCTAAGAAACCATTATCCATTGAAATCATGTTCCATAATTTGTTTTTAACATAATTTCTTTTTCTGTCAATTGTTTTATTATTACTACTACTACCTGTGATTAGGTAGGTGGGGGGGTTATATTCAAAGTTGCATGCCATTTAGTTAAGTATTTTAAGTGTGAGAATGAAAAGAATGGGGTATCAGTGAAACCCTGGTGGTTTCTTGTATTCCCACACACTAAATAAAGTTTTATGATATTGTTTGTTTTTTGCCTTCCCCAGACTAATCAAAGTTCACAGGTATTAATTGATTCTTGTATTCCCCAAACTAATCAAAGTTCACAGGTATTAATTGATTCTTGTATTCCTCAAACTAATCAAAGCTCACAGGTATTAATTGTTTCTTGTATTCCCCAGAATGTATAAATTCCCAGGTATTAATTGTTTTTTGTGTTCCCCAGGATGTATAAATTCCCAGGTATAAATTGTTTCTTGTGTTCCCCAGAATGTATAAATTCCCTGGTATTAATTGTTTCTTGTCTTTCTCATGGGAAGTTTTTTTGTGTATTTTACTATTTTCATAGTTGAGCTTTTGGAATGTGAATTAAGTTTTTAAAAAATTACTTTGACACTTCTCTTCAAACAAAGTTTAACTTCTCAAACAATAAACCAAACAACGAACTTGTATTTGAAAAGTTTTAAAGCACCAACTTTTCTTCTAAGAGTCTGCAAGCTAAGAGTTAGTGAGGGTCATGTTTACTCAGGAGTAAGTGTATGAAACAATTAAAATAGTTGTAGTGGAATTATATATATTTCAATTTATTATACTATTACAGTTGCAGATACATATTTTTTCTTACACAAATATTTATTTATTTATTTAAATAAAATACTTGTCAATAGCAACAACCAATTTTCAAACTAATATTTTGATAAATTCATTAAGTTCTATTCCATTTGTAGATAATAAGATACTTGCATTCACTTGCTGATGTAATCTGTCTACTTGACTATTAAGCTCCTGGTTTTTCAAGCTCAGTTGTTGACATCTTTGAAGTAAAAACTCTTTTTCCGATTTTTGTTCTGTTAGAGAAATATATACACATTTACAAAACAAGACCACTAGTAGTTTGGTATTGATTGAAAGATTTATGATAATTATATTGAAAGAGGAGTTTCAAGTACTATATTATAACAATTTGAAGAGATTCACTGAGTTTCTATGAGAAAAAAAAAGAGCATTTGTTTTTAATGGACAGAACTCAGTATTTATCAATCTAGTAGGTAACAAAGTAAAGAGAATAGGTTGCTTATCTGGTGAAAGAAGTAAAACTATATTTAATTATACACTTTTACCTAATCTGTTAATTCATCATGAAATAAACGTTTTCAAATTGGATGAACAGGAACCCACTTTGAGACTAATAATGGTTGAAGATGGCTTGAATGGGTAATGAAGAAAAACTTTAATATAAGTTTAACATAACAGCAAATGTACAACGTTTCGACAAGGTTTTGTCATCATCACATGATGACAAATATGTCAGATTTATCTAGCTGTTTATTTGTGTGGCTGTTGCAAAAGACAGTCAGAACATTCTAAATGATATTTAAATACATGTTATAAACTCCTTTTTTTTGTGCTTCAAATTTATTCCTAAATTAGCCCAAAATTACCACACTTAAAGAATTTGTTTCCAAACTCTCATGTAAATGATTGGGCATCACTTCACAAACTTGTCTGTACAGGAGTGTAAACCCCCTTTTCATTCTGTTGTCTAATTGATTTTAGTCCCCATTCACCTTTAGTCTTGAAAATGCTTTGCTGTCACACTATACATTATGTTGAGTTATATTGTAAATGAAATTAAAAGTGGTATGTGTATACCTGCATGAAGATTTTCTTTGTTGGCCATTCTAAAATTGCTTCACACATTTCACTTCAGTCTCAAGAATTGCCTTAATCATCAAAATTCTATAATTTTCAAAATTTGTTTGTTATTTACTTAAAATGTCTGATAGAAAAGAAGTATAAATAAAGTGAATTTTAAAATTTATTTTCTTTTTTACTCTTTTGGCAGGAACTATTTCAGCTGAAGCATCTTCTTGATGAAGACAGACAACATTATCAGAAGGCTATAGATGAGCTGAAAATGTGCCTTTACCAGCTGAGATAAAGATTACTGTGCTTATTACTACTGGCTTTTTAGATTTCTCAGATGATATGTTAGTGGTTCTATAATAACTTTCCATGCCAGGGGACCATTCATCTTAAACTGAGAGGCAGTGAACAGAGTCAAAGTGTCTTTTTTTTTTTTTCTAATCATTGAAATGAAAATTATATAGTTCGTTCAGAAATATGTTCTATGAAGTTTGTCTTTGAAGATACCATTGTGTAAATATTAAAAAATATCTTATTTAAAACTACAAAAGACAAAAATTGCAATGTTGGATATGGATAATCCAATATGCCATGTTTATTTATTATTTATCATAAAAGGCATGTGGCAAATGGTGTATAAGAAAATTACCAACTTTTATACAGAAGTGGAATACACATGTATTTTGTAGCCTGCACCTAGTCAAGCTACATATTGTTCCAAGCATTCAACTTGAGTGTTCACATCTAAGATTTCTGTTGCTATAGTGTCTAGCATTTTTATTATGTTTACATGATGTATATGGTCAGTTTCTTTATGGCCAATTTGTCTGTAATTATGTTCTTCAGTAAATGTTTAACAGTTTGTTTTACTCACCAATTTTATTGAATGCCAACCTTGTATTTTGAGTCCTATACATACATACATATATATATATTAAATTCTTTTTGTCTGATAAAAAGAATATTGGTATGCCTGATTATTAAAGAATCGTGAATTAGAAGTAAGAATGAAATTCACATCCTCAGTTTTTGAAGAACTTGTACATTGTGAAGCATCCTAAGTAATTAAAAATGCTAGGGTGTAATTTCACCTCAAAAGTACTCTGACATATAAATTAACAGTTAATTAAGTTACATATGGTGATGGTTTTCCTTACCTAATACTGTAACATTTCACTTTTTCTTTCAACCAAGGTTAGCATGGGAGATTGTGTATCCAAGGGTCCATGTTTTGTGCCCCATTACTGCAAAAAAAACTATACCTTGGGACCATGATTGCATTACCAGAGTGACTGTAAAATCACACTGTTTTGTTATAGTGACCTAAGAGTTGATGGTGGGTGTGATTGATATCTCCCTTCCTTCTAGTCTATCAGTTCAAAATATGAGGTGGCTGGTATAGCTAGGCCTTGTGTAGTTTTGTGTGAACATTCACAATATTAAATTGAAATAAGAAAAGCTTCATGTTAAAGAGCTTGCTCGTTATTAGAACAATGAATGAAATCTAGAAAAATGATAGTATACCTGGGCCAAGGTTGGTGAGTTTCAAGATCAAGCTCATACATAGCTATAAAAATGTGGGATGGATTCTGACAATATTAGAACATATCTGACTGCTCGATATTTGATCCATTTTTTAAAACTATCACCAGGTTGATATTACAGTAAAACCATAGGAAATAGGTACAAAATTTTTAAGTGGAACACTACAAAGTCGTTATAGAATAATATGGATTTAACAATATTTTATTTTAATATCTAGGATTTAGAAGCTGAAATTTGGAGAAATATTTGGAAACCGATAGGTCTAAAAATTGTTATAAAAAATTAACTGCAGATGCTTTTTATTTACACATTCATATTTAATTTGTCCAATGGGATTCGAAATCAATGTGTTGAAAAAAAAAAACTTTTTTTTTTCTCCCACAACTCACTGTCCAATAAGTTTTTTTGTTTAGTGTCAGAACTCATCATTTGAGCTAGATAATGAGAGTAAAAAGATTCTTTGAAACACTATTTAAATATATGCAATGCACCAATTTTAGATAGTTTTCTTCTTCCCATGCTTGTATTTTTGTAATGTAGCTAGTTATTAGGTTTCAGTGCTAATGATAATTTTTATGTTATAGTGAATTAAAAGAATTTTATACAATTTCAGAATTTCATTGAAAATTGGTTGACAAAGGTATATCTAAAAAAATCATTTCATTTCTGAGAACTTGGAAAAATAAATTATTCAAATAACCTTTCTTTAATACGTTTAATGTGGTTTTTAAACTTGTTAATTAAATAATAATATAGTAATGCATATCTAGAAGACGGCAGATTGTTATTGTTAATTTCATAATTAATTTAGAGATTATACAGAAACAAGTTATATAGTTCAATTGTAGAAATATTATAATTGTGATGCTGAAGTCCAGTGATAAGAGTGAAGTATTGTAACTTGGGTAGAGACAAGGACGAAAATACGAATATTTTAGTATTCTTGTGGACAAAAAAAAAATTATAATTCAAATAAAAATTAATAATACATAATTGATATTAAAAATGAGTAAAATTGTTATTAATCCCTACCGTACTTCTGATTTATAAAGGACTTAAATAAAATTCATAATAATTATATTTCGCATATCTTATAAGTTTACTCCACACAACAGCTGTTTGTACAATTTATGATATAAATAGCACCTAGACCACTACCATGTCTGTTGTATCCTAGGTAGCCTAATGATCCT